TTAATTGTTATTGAGATATTATGAGTAGATAATTCATTTTTTTTTTTTCTAAGTTAAATTCTTCTAGTTATAATTATGCCATAGATTTTTAATAATATATTAAAGAGAATGTTCTAATTGGAATTTATCCTTTAGAAAATTGAAAATGATTTTAAAATGTTGATGATAAAAAAGAATTGAAATTCACCTCTTCCAATATACTTTAACATACAAACAAGATGGCTAATTTTTTGCTGCATAAAACAACCAAAATGAAATTTGCTTATTTAACCTTCTGTAAGCGATGCGACATAAATTTGCATAACAATCCTATATAAATATAACACAAAATTTATCATTATCACATAGAGCGGTTTGGATTACGTGACTGGTTGGATTGTTTGTATCGGTTATTCGAAATAAGTTTTTCTTTTTTTTTCTGATTTTCCGTGAGGTATTAAATTGGAATTGGAATTGAATTTTACCATTATCTAGCATTATTCTCAATTATCTGTTACCTTTCAAACCTTGAAACATTTTATTTCACTTTATTTGAGAAGAAGTTAGTTTAGATTGTGAGGAAAGAGGAAGAATATGATCATCCTTCAAACTTTTTATTCCATTCCATTGTGAAAAAGTATTTACTGAATATTGCTTGTTTTTAGGATCATTTATGACGTATGGAGATTGAACATTATGTAATATGTACATATATAGCTGTTGCTGGTGCAATAGTGTCTGTGGTACCAGCGTTGAAGCCAATTTTTAGGATATCTTTGCTACTGATTGCAATACCTTTCATGGCTCGAATATTACGACGTATTTTTGGCCTTCCATCTAATGTTCCTGCTGTATGTTGTTGATGATATGTTTTGAAATTTAAAAAAAAAAAACAATTTGATGAATAAAATGTAAAAAATAAAATACAAAAATTTCATAATGCAAAGAATGAAATTTAAGTCAAAATTTACATTTTATTCATCGAATTGTCGCTATATCAGTTGGAGAATTATTAAGATCACTAGAAGTAGGTCCATTATCTTGATAGATTCATTTTGGATTAGTATTGCAAGTATTTATGAAATTTACGCCGAAATTAATTTTACTATGCAAAGTAGCATTTTCTTTTTAGGCTGTCAAATTCTTCAAAGATTTTCGTGTTGGAGGACATCGAGGTGCGCCGAAAGTTGCTCCTGAAAATACGATTGAATCGTTTGAGAAGGTTCAATCGTCAACTTTTGCTTTTTACTCAGCATTATTCTCAATTTTATTTCATTCACATATCTTTTCTATTTCTGTTTTCTTTCACTATGTTGTCTTCTCCGGTTTTCTAATGAACGTTGCAGGCAAAATTATCTGGTATGGATCTGGTAGAATTTGATTTAGCATTAACCAAGAATGGTATCGTAGTGATTATGCATGACGATGATCTGATGAGAACATGTGGTGAACCGGGCCTGATTGCATCCTTCACTCTGGAAGAATTAAGAACCAAAAATGCTGGGAAAACATTTCAGTTATTAAAGTAAGTTTAAATTAGTATGCCGTATCGTCCACATTTTGATGGATTTCATGATTTTTTTTCTATTTTGTTGAAGAAAATAGTTGTTCTTTGTTTTGCTTCTGCTCTTAATGAATGCTTTTCATGTCTAATTAAACTATGCATGTTAACTTTAAGCGAAAGTATTAATTTAAAATAATTTACAAAGTTAGTTAAGAAATCATCCCTAAAACCTGTCAGTTCAGCAAGCAGGTAGACTGGTTTTGGTATTGGTGGGCACAATCGTACTCGATGTTTAAGTGCTATGTTGACAGAACAGATTGTACTGATAGTAAGTGACATTACTGACGGGGTATTCCTGTCGGATTTTTAGCTAGCATGTATTAGAGGCTTATCATTGTCCTGTGCGCAAGTACTGTTCGATGTTTTTTTATCAAGTTAGCAAAAATCACACTGCTTGGTGGATCGATTCGATTTGACCCTTTCGGCACTTCCACTAGGATGATTTTTTTGCAGTGCACTGGATAATCAAGCTGCTTCGAAAATTTACCATATACCAACTTTGGAGGCTACTGTAAAATACTGCCGAGATAACAATCTAAAAATGCTATTCGATGTGAAAGATAGCAGTTATGAGGTAACTTGCTTGCTGAAGTACAAAGTCTTTTGACGGTACACTTAGCAGCCTTCCATTGGTTGCGCACGCTAACTTTTACAGCTACTCACCTGATTACTCATTAATTTATTGTTTGTGTCATGCTGGTTTGAAAAATAATCGCACTAATCTAAATGCTATAAGGACTTCATATGAATAATTAATTAGTTTCAGATGATTTCGCAAATAGTATCCGTAATATCATCCAATAATTTGTATGATGATGTGATCGTTTCTTCATTCTTCCCTTGGGTTCCATATGCCATCAAGAAAATTGATCCCAATATATTAACTGGTAAGTTTTGTTGCCAATCTAAATTTGGAGAATGTCAGTTCTGTAAGAACATGTTAAGAAGCAAGCAAATACCGGGTTCATTATGTCTTGTTTTAATGATCACTGGAATGAGTGAGAACATGGCTTATTCAGTTATCATTTGCATTTCTTATCAAAGCTATTAATTGTGTAATAGTATTTTATACAATTTACATTTAGGCGTCACATGGCGTCCATATTTTGCAACATATAAAGATTTGGAATGTTGTGTTCCACGATTCTCGGGATTGAAACACTTTTTTGCATTGCTGTTAGATTATATTAACATGAAACTATTGCACAGTTTTCTGCCACAATTCCTTGGAGTTGAAATGCTACTTCTATATGAGAAAGAAATATCTAGGTATGCCTGCCCAATGTTTGACTAGCTCACGAGGATTCTTATTTATCTATTTCATCCAAATTTAAAATTTTTTGATAATGTGGTAACTACTGTTGAGATTTCTTTTTCGAGTAGGATTTTTTTTAAGTGTCTTAAAATTTGTATAATTATAGTGGATTGGTAAATAGGATGAAGGACATGGATATTCAAGTGGTTGCATGGACGGTTAATGATCCACGTCAAATGCTTTATTTGGTCGATACGTTGCAAGTATATGTCTACATTTTTTGTTTATTCCTTGATTTCATTAAATAGTATCCAGGAGATTTGGTTCATTCTACATAATCTTTGAAACTCTAGAATTGCTTAGTGTAGGTTCTAGAAAAGTGGTTTTCAGATTCCTTTTCTAACAGATCTACCTCACTTGTACAAAGATCTCAAAACTATACGAATGGAAATGCAGAACAAGGATAAAATGGAAAATTAAGTTGTTCAATGACATTCCATAAAAAACAGTTATCAAATCAAGATCTATTTTTCTTTAGTCTCCGTTTCATTCTCTTGAAAAATTTGTATTACATGGTCGGTTTTCTGTAAAAATAGGGTTGTCATGTACCTTCGACATGTGTTTTTTGTTTCAGGATATTAGGAATCGCTTACGGTGATTTATCTTTTTCAGTTTTTTAGCTAGGAAGAAGCTAAAAAAAGAGCACCTCGAGATTATGCATAATTATGGGTTGCAATGTTTGATATTGTCACCATTTTCAAATGTTTGATGGATTTAAAGTTTTCATATGAATTTATGCTTTTTATCTGTGAATTCTTATTCCGGTGGGGGAAATGAGATATTGGGATGGATGTTGGTTTTTATTTGATTGTGCTCTCGCCCTCATTAATTTAATTTGTAAATAAAACAGGCTCCTGATATTGATTTTTAAATTTATAGATATTAATCTAAAAGAAAATAAAATTTTAAATGTTTTATTAGAGGATTTGCAACTGACAGCACATTTCAATGCATAGTGTTACTTACATTCATTACTAATTTCGACTTGAAGTTGTTCGTGATTTTTTGAAAACTGTTACTAAGAAGGACATAAATATTTGGTGCGTATTGTTGAACAAAAAAAAATACGCTAAATTATATTTTAATGGTTTATCTTGTGGTCATGCAAAATGCGATCATTGATGGGAGATAGATTGGACAAAATAGCTCAGAGATCGATGAGTCTTTTCCAAATTTTCAGTTGTAAATCGTGTCCAATCAGGAAATCAGGAAAGAAGTAACATTTAGCACGATAAAAGTAGAGTGAGCAAAATGTGACTGTGAGAAATAAGATAGTTAAAGTTAAAGAGTTAAGGTATAATCTAACCACATCACGTAAAGTGCTTGTCTGCCATAAAAGAAAAGTCTTTTAGGTGGGATCAAAGATAATGTACGAAATAGAGCCCCAATCTTTGAAATATTAGGTTTTTCAAAATTCTACAAATTTTTTTCAAGTGAACATTAGAAGATTTCGAATTTGAAAGATTAATTTTTGTCATTCGATCCGGGAGAGTTCTATCGCTAGAAAATCCAGGTTTCCTGGCAATACTCTAATGCTCATTTGCTACTGGTCCTTCTATCCTATCATCACTACTGGGAAATTCAGAATGACGATCAACTTAGGTAAAACTTACTAACGAGACTAATTATTATGGATTCTGCAAAGATTCTTTATTCTCTCTTAACTTCTATGGTAATATTAAATTAATCATAGTGAGAAAAAATACATTATCATTGTGATTTTTACATTAAATTATAGTGATGATTAATTCAACAGCTTTCCGTCCTCATCATTACGATATCACATAATCAAACAATGGTGCAGGATCAATGAAGATTATTTTTGAAATCAATTTAAACTGATTTAAAATTCTCTCGTCAATTTCGATTCGATTATTATATAACTCGGCCTATTTTAATTTGAATTTAACAACATTATTAATATTTTTATTCTAATTTTTTTTCCTAAATATCTTAAAATTAATAGTAAATTACGCTGTTTTATTGAAAAAGAAACAAAAAAATAATAATAATAATAAAAATGAAAATGAAAATATGTTATCGTATAAAGAAAAGGTATGAAACCTAAGCGTAAAACAAGAAAAAAAAAAGGAACAATAACAAGGACAGTGGCCCAAAGGGTAAACAAGAAAAAAAAAAACAAACAAACAGTCTATAAGATTAAAGTAGAACTCATTGGTAGTTAATAATGTTTGAAAATTTGAAATGTTATAATATTTGAATGCTTTTTTTTTTTTCTAAAATAAAAAGCAAATTTCCTTTTCGTTATTGTTGTATTAAAATTATCTTCCATCTATCATCACATTCTTCATCACCATCTTCATTGGTCTTATGTCATCGTGCTTTTTTATTTATTATTTTGTTTAAAAGCAAAATAATGATTGAGTAATTTCGATGATAGTTGTTGGGATGCATTTATCGTCATGATCGATTATATAGCTTTAAGCAATTGCTTCTTCATCAGGCGGTTTTCTTACCATCTTTCTCGTCCAATCTGTCAACCTTTCCTTCTTCTTCTTTCTCTTTCTACTTACCAATCAACCAATCCTTTTTTTCCATCATTTCGTCCATCCCTCCTCATACTTTTTTTTTTTTTAACACTATAAAATTTTTATTCGTCGCGCAGGATGTCAGTTTTACCTCCAAAGATCAGCTGTTCATTTAATTTAATTTTTTCATTTTTCGTCCTAATTTTCCTTTTTCCTTTTCTTCTTTTCTTTTCTTTTTTTTTTTTTTGTTCACAATGAGCTCAACCATTGCAACGGGAAAATTTTTCTCAAATATTCAATTAAATGAAAATAGCAAAAAATTTTTTCTCATTTGCTGGCATTTTCAATTAATTTCTGTAAAAAATGCATTTCATAGTTTTCAATGTTTGCTTTATTGATATCAAAAACGATAAAGAGGGAGAGAGAGAGAGAGAGAGAGAGAGAGAG